GAGGACAAGAGCGCTGTGGAGGACGCGGTGAAGGAGGCGATACACTTCCTCGACGAGAACCCCAACGCGGACAAGGAGGAGTACGACGAGGCGCGCGAGAAGCTGCAGAGCGTGACGAACCCGATCATCCAGAAGGCGTACCAGGCCGGCGGGGCTTCCGGCGAGGAGGGACAGCCGGAGCCAATGGACGATCTGTAGGCACGCACGCACGCACGCTGGCTGACGCCGGCAGCGGTAGCAGGGGGCGCAGCAACCGCCGCTGCTGGTGCCGCTGTATGGGGAGCCTACGCTGCCATTGTTCCGCGCGTATCCACGACGAGGTGGCGCCAGGCAGTCGAGAAGTAAGGGGAAGGGCGAGTGCAAGGAGGAACGTGCATCCCCTCTCTATGGCCTAATGTTGCTTTTCTGCGTTTCCGTGAGGCTGCTGTTCTGGGCGCCCGTTTTCCTGTTCCTCGGAGAAGGGAAGACACAAGTGGGTTTTGCGAGGCTGGTAGTAGCGAGAAGATAGCAAGTGTCACTGGGGGGAGGGGGTAGATGAGGAAGGAAGAAGCGCGAGTAAGTAGGCGTGCCCCTGAAGTGCTATACAATCCGAGAAATAGGCGCGTAGGGAGAAGAAATGGTGGGAGGCGCCGTGTGTCCCGCATCTGTGATTTTGTTTTTCTGTTTTACGATGTGCGCCACGTGCGGGACAGGCGGTCCGCCTTTGTTCTCTTATGTGCTCTTTCGGCGCAGAATACATTGTGGTCCGTGGCCTCCACGCGTGTCCCGTGGCGTGCGCACTGCGCGGTGCGGATAGTGCAAGTGCATTTTTCTCCCCCGTCTCCTCCCTTTTTTTTTTGTGTTTACTTGTTTTTGTTTTTGTGTTTTTACTCTCTGGGTATCGCATTGCTTAGACCCTGTTGAGGCTTTAGGAAAGTTGATGCCGTTGGAGCCGGCGGAGGAGCCCTTAGGGAGGTTTCGTGTGGTGTTGTCTCGCAGCTGCCTGAGTGACCCTGGCGCGGTGTCCTCCTGTTCCGGCGGTAGGAGCGTTTCGGGTGCGGTTCCGTGCGCGGCCGCTTCTTCTGCGGCGGGGGCGGGGGCGCTGTCTAGTTTGGCCTCCGGGGTCACGCGTTTGGATAATTCATCCCAACCACGACGTTTCGGGGGTGCCATTGTGCGAGTGAGCGAGCTGCAGTCGGCGGGTGGTGCGGCGTCCTCGACTGCGCCGGCCGGCCGCGAAGGCAGCGCGCGGGGGAGGCCGCCGGCGAAGATGTTGTGGCGAGCAATGGGTTTGGCGGGCATCGGCGGCGACGAGGCGTGTCCTCCGTGCGGCGACACTGCGGGGGTGGGTTCGCCGGCTGCAAAGGGCGTGGCTGGCAGGGTTGGGCAAAGGCGCATGCCTTCCTCCCGCGGGGGGCATACAAACCGCAGCAGCAGCAGCAGCAGCAAAAAGCCCGTAGCCTCACTGCGCAGGAAAACGGAGCGATCGCGAGGGAGGGGTAGCAGTTTGCAGCTGCAACCCAATGGGGCGCCGTATGAGCACCGATGGTCCACGGTGAATGGCCGTCGTCAGCTGCACTACGGCGGTCACACGTACAAGGGTAGAGCCGCCCACCAGCTTTGGGGGAAGATAAAGGCCGCACTCCCTCCAACGGGTTCGAACTCCTCGCAAGTGTCTTCTAGAGTGCGAAGCACGGAAAGGCAAAAACCCAACGGCAAAAAGCGTGCGCGTACAGGAGAAATACTTGCCGCCGATGCCATTTCAGGAGTTCAGGCTGCTACGAGTCGTGTGGTGTTCCAGCGCACGAGACAGATGTGCGCACCTGCCCCAACTTGCGTCTCGACAACACGCACCGGGCTACTGCTTGATGACGACGAGGAGCCGCAGCCAAAAGGAGATGCGGGGGCAGACGTGTTGCTTCTTTCGGGGAGAGGTGACGGGACGGTGAGCAGTTCGGAGACGTTGACAACCTCGAGTTTGACCTCCTCCGCGACGGACGAGGACAGCCTGACCAGCAGCATGAGTAGCTTCAGCAGCGAGAGCTCATCTGACACAGCTGTTGGGCGTCGCCATGATGGTATTGTCACAATGGCAGGCGTGAGGCGCCAAGGCGCTGGCTCCGCAAAGACAAGAAAGCCGCCTGTGCTGGTGGAGCATGAGGGTTGGGTTTACCCGGCAGAGTTACTGCCCGTTTTGTGCGGGCAGCGATGTGCTGACGCGTCGCTTGCGCAGCAGGCGGTCGAGAATGCCGGAACTTTTGAGGCCGATGCCGCGGGAAGAGAGGACCCCGAAAACAGGGCTGGTATGGCGCAAGAAGGTCACAAGGCGGAAAGCAATCCGAAGGCACGGGGTTTAACTGTTCTTGGTTGGGGTGACGTTGGAGATGCCTCATTGGCGGTTCACCGGCACCGGGAGGACGCAACCGCAACTCTCAACTCGGCGGACTCCCTGCGTTACGAGGAAATGGATGCGTTGGATAGCTTTCTAGATGCAGACGCGGCAGACTTGTTTGTGGCCGGTGATGAAATTGGGGGTGTTCGGTTTGCTCCATAACTCGGCGTGGGTGCTTCTTACCGTACCCTCTGTCGTGCTGCCAGATCCCCTTGTTTTCCTTCTTCCTGTTGAGTGTTGACTGCGATGGGTGTGAGTTTAGTGGAGAGCGTCATTGATTGTCTAGCGCAATGAAGGCGCGGTGCGTGTGCCTCTCCTAACCTAAAGCCAATGCGCTGCCGGAGGTCCGGCAGAAGGGCGCGGTTAGCGAGCGGCTCTGGCGCGCGCACTTCCTCCCCTCCCCTTCTCCCCATACATATGTGTGTGTCTGCCCAGGAGCACGCTGTGAAGCTGACTTTCCTACTTTGAGGATTGTCTTTGTTGGTTTCCTTCTTGTTTTATTGGCAGTGTCATGAGCTGTAGTTCTCGCATGAGGGCACCGAGGCAGCCTAGACAGCAACACCCCCTCTGCCTCTTCATACGGCGCTTGCCGCACGATATAACGCACGTGAAGCTCAAGGCTGTGTTGCGGGAGCGGGGTGGGTGTGGCGAGGTGGAGGACGTGGTCGATCTTTATGTTCTTCGCGGGTTCGCGCGCCACGGTGACCGCCCTTACGTTCCTTCCACCGCCGTCGTCTCCCTGCGACCGGCGCAGGATGGCGACGACAACGCGACCAAACGCGTGGCTCAGGCGATAAAAGACATCTTCGATGGCCGTGTAGTATTTGACGAGGACGACGATGCCCCCGACGCTATGGCGTCGACGGTGGAGTGGGCACCGGCGTGTTTTAACGTCTTCCCGCCCCTCAGACGGGGTTCGAGTGGGAAGAAACGGGGGAAGCCAGCGGCGGTGGAGTGGCGTCCAGGCACTATCGAGGACGATGAGCATTACAAACGCTTCTGCGCCGGGCTAGACAAGCCGTCGTCCGAGGCGAGTGAGGACCAGACGGAGGAGCTCGGCGGTGAGCCGAAGGTGGAAGCGGCACCGAGGTCGCTTCTTGTGCAGGGGCTCCTCGCCGAGTGTGGGCATCTGAAGAAGGTGAAGGCGACCGGGACGCGAAGGAAGCGGAAGGAGGAAGCAGCGGCGAAGGCAGCGGGTATGACGAAGTCGAAGGCAAAGACGAAGCCGACGAAGAAAGTTAGGAAGGAAGTGGCGCAGCCCGAAAAGAGGACGGTGCTAAGGAACCCGCTTCGCGAGAGCGCACGGGAGGAGCGTGCGACCGTGGCGCCGAAGAATTCCAAGACGGAGAGGAAGAAGTTGCGTGCTCCGCGAATACTGCGCCCGGAAGGAGGCGGTGACGCGCTGGTGGAGGCCGGCTGCCCCGGCTTCGAGCCCAAGAAGGCACGACGTCAGAAGCAAAGGCCAGAGACGAAAAAGGAGCGGCTGCGGAGGAGGAAGCCGAGGGGGAAGGAGGAGCCGGCTGCAGTGGAGGCGAGTCCCGATCGCGGCAAAGTGAATGCGCGTCGTAGCAGGAGAGTAAAGAACCGCCGTAAGACAGACGGAGAGAAGGGGATTGAGCCGCCTGGCGCAGAAGCGTTGGAAAGAGAGGAGGCAGAGGGGAAAGGGCGGAGTCAAGAGCAGTCAAAGAACGGAGGACGGGAACGGGAGGAAAACGAACAACAGAAGGCACGGGGGAAAAGAAAAAGAGATCGACGGAGCAAAAATCGTGCACGGGAGAAGGAAAAACACAAGAAAGCCGCCGCCTCACCAGCATCCATCGAAGTCGATGCGGAGGACAAGGGCAAAGGCGTTGCCCTCCCGCGGGGACCACACGTAGACCCGTCTGGAGAGAGGGAGTTGGAGCAACATTCAGGCCCCACCGCCGTCCCTGCACGAGGATCTCCTCCCGACCCTAGAGCTGGGGAGGGAGGAGGAGGGGGAGGAGGACGAGGAGGAAAAGCTTCTCGCCGCGAAAGAGGCAGGAAGAGGCCATCAGATCAGGGAACCAAACAAACACCGCAGGTTCGCACTTTGCTCAAGCGGTCGGATGAGGCCATTGTGGTTTCTTCAAGTGACCGACACTGAGGGCGATGCGTGGGAAGAGTGCGTTTTATGTCTAGGGGCAGCATGAACTTCAGTTGAAGCCTTTCAAAAATTTCGGCAAAATACTCCTGCTCAAAATAATGATTACTCTTCCCTTGTTGTTTGTTTTGTTTTGTTTTGTCTCTTTTTCCTTCGTGACCCAAGTTGTTTCCGTACTTGGAGTGATGGATTTGACGCCCGTATGTTAATTGACAGCCTAGCTAAGCGTATAAATCAATTTCAATGCCTGTTTTCGGCAGTGCCATTATTGTTTTTTTTTTTTCTATTGTTGTTGCTCTGTGGGGAGGGGGTGCGAATTGGAAACCTTGATGTTCGCTTCCCTTGGGATCCCATCTCCCCTTTGCTACACGCATTAGCATTCTGCCTTTCCTCTGCTGCGCTTTCCAGCTTGGCCCTCTGCGCATACCTGCCCCTCCCTCCCCCCACCCACTCATTACACGTTGAAATACTCACAAGGGAGGTCGACAATGTGGTCTCTTGTTGTCTCCGTTTTGCTTTTTGCTGTGCTTTTTATTTGGATGGACGACCTTTCGACGATGCTCTCCTTGCTTGGGACACTGCTCATATCAGCGCTTCTCGCGTGGCTTGCGAGCAGGTATCTCTTTGACCGTCGCCCCCGGCCGGCAATGCCGGCGCCGCGTGCCACACCGCGGCCAACGGCTTCAGGCGACAAAAAGGAAGTGAGCGTTCTCTTCGGAACTCAAACTGGCACGGCAGAGATGTTTGCAAAGACACTTGTGCGGGAGGGTACACGAATGGGGGTTCCCATGAAACTTATCGACGTGGAGAACTATGAGCGGCACAATCTCGAGTATGAAAGCCTTGTGTTAATTATCTGCGCCACGTATGGCGAAGGCGAACCCACGGATTCGATGAAGGAATTCCACGACTGGCTTATGGACGACGCGCACGCCCCAGGCGAGGAGCTTCGGAACGTCAATTACGCCGTGTTCGGCTTGGGCGATCGTCAGTATCGTTACTTCTGCGAGGAGGGCATTGCGGTTGATCGTCGCATGGCAGAGTTGGGGGCGCAGCGCATCTATGGCCTTGGCTGCGGCGACGCCGGGCAGAATATTGAGGAAGATTTTGACGCGTGGCGTCGCGACTTGTGGCCGGCGGTGGGTCGCACGCTTGGAGTCGAGTTGCGCCAACACTCGGAGGAGCCGGTGGAGCCGGAGTGCCGCATGAAGCTGTGGGATGCGTCGGAGGAGGGGTCCCTCCCATTCCCGAAACTTGCGTCTGTGCTGGAGCCAACCCAGCGACTGCCGGCGTGGGTGCCGGTGGTGGCAAACATCGAGCTGCTGCGCAACACCACCGAACGCAGCACACGATACATTGAGTTGGATATTGAGGGCACCATCATCTCGTATCAGAGCGGCGACCACCTCGGCATTCTTCCACACAACACCGATGCGACGGTGGATGCCTATCTGCAGATACTTGGTATCGGCAAGGAGGAAGCCTCGCAGGTGTTTTCCTTGCAGGACAAGAAGACGGGCAAAAATGTCTTTCCCGCTCGTGTCACAGTTCGAACGGCCCTCAAGTGGTACATTGACCTCAACGGACACCCAAAGAAATCCACATTGCGTGCTTTTGCCCACTACGCGAAGGATCCAGCCGAAAAGGAGGCATTGCTGAAGCTGTTACGCCTGGAACCGGAGTCGATGCATGAATTCGCCAAACTTTCAGCCAAGCTGTGGAACATTCACGGGTTCCTGCGGAAGTTCTACTCCATATCGGTGCCACTTGGGGTTTTCCTTGAAATGATGCCGCGGATTGCACCTCGTTACTTTTCGATATCTTCCGACCTCCTCTCCCATCCTCACTCAGTTGCTATCACGGCGGCGATTGTGCAGGGCGGGCTTTGCACTGGAATGCTGCGGGAAACGCCATTTGGGGAGAAGATTCCTGTTTTTGTGCGCAAATCCAAGTTTCATCTTCCGCTGCGAGCCAAGGAACGGCCTATTGTAATGATAGGCCCCGGAACAGGCGTGGCCCCGCTTATTGGGTTTCTTCATCGCCGCATTGCCTGGAAGAAGAAGGGCAACGAGCTTGGCAAGGCGATGCTCTTTTTTGGATGCAGGCGGAAGGATGAGGATCACATCTACAGTGACTTTATGGCGGAGTGCTTGGCAAACGGGACGCTGTCGGTGTGCGATGTCGCCTACAGCCGCGAGCAGGCGGCCAAGGTCTATGTGCAGCACCGTGTGAGGGCCCGTGAAGATGAAATTTGGGAAATTCTACGCGATGGTGGAAATCTTTACCTCTGCGGGGACGCAAAGCACATGGCCAAAGATGTGGAGGAGGCGCTGGTCGAGATCTTGCAGAAGAAGGCACCTATGAGCGAGGAGGCGGCAAAGGCGTACTTGGTGAAACTTCATGAGAGTGGGCGCTACCTGAAGGACGTTTGGTCTGCGTCGTAGCGACCGTGTGACAGGGAATAAATTAAACAACAACCATCAACAAAAAAAAAAAAGAACTTAAATCTGGGCGTGTGGGGACTAGCAAGGACCTGAGGGAGAGGAAATGCACGTGGGTGGAGGGGAGGTGTCTCTGCTTGGTTGCAGCGCCCCAGGTCCCCGCGTCCAGAGAAAAGAAGAAAAACAGCAACAAGAGGTGGATAAAAACGCCATCTATTAGCATGCATGCGAAGTGAAGAGAAGACTAATAATGATGATGATGATGATTATTATTTTTTTGTCCAATTTCGTGGTGGCCGTTGTTGCTGTTGTAAGGTCAAAACGGGGAAGCGAGTCAAAAGAGAAAGGGAGCCAAAACTTCTACAGAGTAGTATATATATATATATTATGTCTGTGGGCGTGTGGGTAAAGGGCAGGCCGGCGTGCACGCCCGCAGTTGCGGGCGTCGGCGCGTGCCGGCACATTGAAAAGAGACAGAGACAGCCGTGAGGGTGTGCGGGAGTTGCCCCAATGCGTGGGGGATTGGTTCCCACCTGCCCCGCTAACGCGCCCAGGACGGTTGCTGCCCGAAGGGGACGAGGCAGGTGGGGCGGGGATGTGGATGAACATCGATAGCGCACATTCATGAATAGAGATAGCTAGAGAGAAGAAATGACCCCGCCAAGCCGCCGCCTGCGAAACGTCATACTTGTCGAGTCTCGTGGCTCACAGGCATTTTTGTCTCCGCGGAGGTGGTGGCGGTGGCGGTGGCGGTGGCGGTGCTGCTCCTCGCGTGCTTCTCCGTGTCTATTGCAGAACCTCCCGTGCACGCACGGCTACATGTGTTGGACCCTTGGGGCCAAAACAATAAAAGCAAAAAAAAAAAATGAAATCTCTGCAGCACCGGAATTCTTTCGCACCCTGAATGATATTCTCTTTCTTTATCTTTCTCCTCTCGCACACGCATCCAAAGCAGCGCACGTGTTTACATTGTTTTTTTTTGTAGCTTTATATCGTTTTGCGGTTTACCGTGTGGGTTTGTGGGCAAAGTGGCTTCATTGCACGCAGAAGGAAAACGCACACACACACACACACACACACACACACACACACACACGCAAAGCGAGGACCGGAGGGAAAGAAGGGGAAGAAATAATAATAACAATACATGGAGCAGTGGCTGACCTCCACGAACTGACCACATACATTTTACGGTAGCAGCATCATTTTCGCTGAATCGCGCCTTGGGCTGATTAGAAAATGTTGTTTGTCGTCTTGGCCTGCACCGACATACGTGGGGAGAAGCTCAATGTGGAGCTGCCGTTCAGGGAGCCACCGGACTCGCTTGCTGAATTCTACCGCATACTGGAACGCGTTTTCCGCGGGGAGGAGAACGACGTAAAGGCGAAAAAGGCGGAGACGTCGACGCATCCTTCGGAGCCGTTTACGGTGAGTCGTGTGCAGAGGTACGAGGAAGACACACAAATGTGGGTGGAGCTCGGCGACGTGCGGCAACTGCACTTACACGACCAGTTGTACGTGTTTCGCAGGCATGCGACGAGGGCGGATATCTCGACAAGGCGCGATATCCCCGCGCCACGTAGAAGCCCCTACTTCTTCGCATCGCGTGCGTTAGGTTTGGCAAACACGTCTGCGGAACCCGAACTCAACCTCAACCGCACCAGTGGCGCGTCCCCGTCACCACCGGCATACTCCTCCGTCCCACAGCGGCCACTTACGTCTGCTGTACCGAGAAATGAGGGTAGGAACTCGACCAACGGTACAATACAAACTTTACCTGTGCATCAGCTGGAGGGTTCTGCAGGGGTGACGCAAAGTAATGCCGCTCCCGTGCCGACTGTGGAGCGCCGACGCAGTGACCCTTCCACTGCAAAGGAGAACCTCTCGTCTGAGCAGGTAGGTGTTGTTTTTGCCGCGGGTGACTCCAGCCACCGCGGCTACTTGACACTGCGGGATTTTCAAGGCATGCTCAACACTTGTGAAATTCAGTTCCCAGCGGAGGCTGCGGAGGAGCTTCATCGTTGCTTTGCTACGGAAAAATGCGGTGAGGCAGTGATGGGATTTCGAGACTTCCAGAACTTTGCGAGGGAGTTTGTACAGACGGCTAGTGTGGCCTACACACGTTTAGTTGTCCGTGAGCGCCAACGAGTTATCGAACAAGAGCAGCGTGACAACGCCTCCGCCCTTGACGGGCTCCAGACGGAGATGAAGGCGCTGGAAGAACGTCTGGAGCTCGTGCAGAGGCATATTGCCAGGAATAAAGAGAAAGAGACGCGTCTACGAAGCGAGTTGGACGAGCTGCGGAGGCTAGACTACTCCGACTACCGTGAGCAGGAGCAGCGGCTCCTTAGCAAGGAGGTTGTTGTTTTTCGCTACCGGCAGAAATTGCAGGAGGAGGAGAGCGACTATGAGCGTCTGGTGGCTGAGCGACGGCAGCAGGGGCCAAATATGTCGCTGGGGCAAGGACCCGTGCAGGCTGGCGGCTATTCGTACGAACCGCGCGAATGCGCCGTTGCTGCGGCAGTAGAAAAGAAAGAGACAAAACAGAAGTGATAACACTTTTACGGAGGTGGGGTATCGTCTGGAACCTCCGCTGAGGGGGACGGCAAAGAAACGGGAGCTTTCTTCGGGGTTTGGGGTGCTGGTGGCGGTGGTGGTGGATCCCACGGCGAGAGTGAAAAGATTCGTTAGCCAGTTGAGCAAATGAACTCGTATGTTTTCTGCAGGCGGCTTCTTGTTGTAGAGTTGTCTTGTCGTCAAGTTTTTTTTTGTCTGTTTGTCTGTTTGGTTCCTCATATTTGTATCGGTTATAGTCTCCTCATAGCCCACTTCCTTCACCTACCCACATACGCGTGCGGTGACCCTCCCGCCTTCTTTTTTATTTATTTCTTTTTTCTTTTTTTCTGCGGGGATGAACTATCGGCAATGCAAAATTTCTGGCAAATAAATACCCGTTTGCTGCAATTCTCTTCTTGCAGTTGTCCTTCCCTTTTTTGAGTCACGGCACGATTTTTTCTCTGTGCGAGTGTTTTTTTTTTTTGACGTGCTTGTTTGTTTTTTTCTCCGTCCTCCGTTTGCGTGTCCGTGCTAGGGGCTTGCACAGGCGTCACCAGGCGAAAGGCGTGGAAGGACGATCCGCTGCCTAAATGGCATCCCGCTCCTCTACATACTCTTGCCGAGACGACTTTCTGCGCAAATGCTGCGACCCGTGCGACTGGCGTGTCAGTCGCTTTCCCGGGCGACTCCCACGCAGCGGAGAGGACCCCACGGCAATAATGTCCTTACGACCGCACAGGAGAGCGTGAGACGTAGCGTGGTCTCTGCGCCTCAGCTTCCCCCGCGCGTGCCGGAGGAGTTTTTTCTCCCTCCCAACTCCAACCACTGTCGACTGTGCGGTGAGGTGCAGCTCCGCGGAGTGCCGCATACAGGGTCCTCAGTGCATCAACTACTAGAGTCGATCACGTGGCTGTTAGTTACCAGAGCCAAGAGGCACCCCAGCGGCGCAGTGGGTGTGGCTCCGGAAGCGTCCCGTGTGTTTTTTCTTGAGGAAGCGCAGCGGTGGGAAAGGGTACTGCGTCATTTCTGTTGCTTCCCTCTCACACAACACATGTCTGCGTTTAGTGGGGGGGAGGCAACCGAGGAGATTTCTGCAGAGAGCTATTTATCGGACGTCGCGTCGGAGAGTCTATGGCGTCATCTTGTGCAACGCAAAGCTTCACTGTTACGCGATAAGCTTCATGTTTTGATGGAGTTGGGTGTGTTGAACGTCACGGCGCCGCGTGGGGGTAAAACGGACACCGGTATGTTTCAGCGCGACGCCGGGTTTCAGCGACTGGAGTGCATTGGCGACCACAACTGGGGGCATTCCGTTTGCCATAGACTGATTGTGTTATTTCCGGAGGTCAATTGGCGGACGCTCTCGAACGTGTTTGTTGTCGATGCCCTCCGCACGGTGCTGGAGAGCAACAATCACTTGGATTACGTCTTTACGGTGCTCCAGCTGGACGACCTGCTGGGGAGCTGTGAGTCGCAGGGGAAATCCACCAAATTTAAGGCCGATGTGGTGGAAGCCATTGCCGGGGAGTTGCATGTGGCGTTGTGGTCACTGGAGCCGTACGACACGGATGGCATCAGCACACGCCCTTCTTTGCACGGTGTGCCAGCCACACCCCCGTTGGCGATTTTTGTGAGAAGTTGTCTGAACGAATTGCTCGATACGATTTTCTACTCCTTCATTGCAAAGTATAACGTGCAGCTGGTGCGGACCGTTGTGGCGCTTTCGCGCCGCGAGGAATATATTATGGATTCCTCGTCGTCGCCATTTTACGCACTACGCGGGTCACGGCGGCGGCGATTGGGCACCACCGGAAGCCCGCGTTGGATTCTTCCCTCGCACCCGAGGCTGCACCAAGAGCTGCAGCCGCGGGGCGGCCGCCCCATCACACACGTGACTTTTTCTTGTGCGAAGCCGCCAGCCTCACTCGCGGCAATTGATGCAGGTTATGAAAAGGGAGCAGTCCCCACGGATGGGTTGCTGCAGGAAGTGGAACGGCCCATGAAAGCCGCTGCAGAGCGACACATCACGCGACTTATCGCACGTGAGTTGATAGACAGGTGTGGTGTCCTGGATTGCTTCTATGGCACAGTAGTAAAAGACGGTTAGACGCACAGAAGGAAGGGGAGAAACGGTTCAGTGATCGCCAGTAAAGAGAAAAAAGGAAGGGGAGAGGGGGCTTCCCTGCTTCTGTCGGTCTGTCTCTGCCTGCAAGAGGTGGGGCAAATGAAGGGCAATTCCCAGGTGCTTTTTCTTCCTGTCATCTCTTTGTTTGTTTATGTATGTGTGAGTGTGTCTCTGCCTGAGTTATTCACTTTGTGATGTGTTTCAGGCGTTGCTTGAAGAGTGCCTGTTTGTTTGGGCATGTGACGCGTGCTTTCATTTCCTACAAGGAGAGAGATGAAGCGAGAGGAGCCTAATGATACTTGCCTGGATAACGTGTTTTACCTTTCCATCCCTTTGCACATACACAAATATTTATGTATATACACCATCTTATTTACTTTCTCTCTCTT